CCGCCGCAGATACTTCATCAGAAACGAGATGGTCAACAAAATCGCACCGAACGATCCCGTACGTCAAAAACGTATCGGAGGCCTTCAGCACACAGGCCGGAGGCAACTATAAGTTCTCAGATAGTGAAACTAAAGGCCCATTTCGACGGTAACAAACATCTGGAGTCGTGTACAGGATCTCATGGTTGCGGACAAAGCAACTACAGAAGAAGGAGATGCGACCACTGGAGCAAGAGTTTTATTGTCCTGACGTTTCGAATTCTATTGGGAAACCTTAATCATAGGTAATGACTATGACTATGATACCATTACCTATGACTAAGGATTCTCGACGGAATCCGAAAAGTCAGAACAATAAAACTCTTGTTCCAGTGATCGCATGCCCTTCTGAACTGCTTCCCCGAGAAACTGGCAGACCTACCAAGAGGCGAATTGCCGAACACGCGGCAGCAGCGCGGCGAAATGATGCTAATTCGAAGGTTGCGGCTCATTCGACGAGACCCGGCCACCGATTAAAATCTGATGAGGCCGAAATTCTCGCAAGAGGTGATAATCGTGTGAGCCGAAAACTACTAAAGTCATGGTTTACGGCCCCCAGTCCATAAACAAGTGCAACTACTTGCCCAATCCATATTCAGCGCTGAGGCTTGTTTTTACCAAATCAAGTGGCCACATGGAGCACGCACAGGTCACCGACTCATCTTACGCCAAAACCGGGGAAGCAGATGGCTGACCAATTATCACGTCCAATTCCACCATGGGTGATCCAAGTTCAGCAGGTCACGGCCAGCATGCCGGTAACACAACAGAGGGCAATTGTCGCTATTTATTGTACGTGGGCAGTAATTACTGTGTCCTATAAATACTGCAACTTCCTGTGCATAACTTCATGCTCATGTGTCTGATGAAAAATCCGCGAGGGATGTCGAAACGTCAGGCAAATAAAAGTATTGTCCTGTATTTGTGCCCGACTGTCTCAAGGTCTTGTGTCTTCGCGGTGACTGTGTCCACGCGATGATCTTAAACCGCTGGACCGAGCCAAACAGACACACACACACACGAGCCCAGGCGTGTGTCCAACTAGTCGCAGTTCCTCAAGGGCCACTTAGGTGCGCCACACGGCAGGTGACCTTATTCCAACTCACCCAATCATGCCACAAGCGAACACGCTTGATAAACACTTATAAGCAACTGTTACGTCTCAGACACGGACTGACAAGGACACCACCAATCCGTTTCAGGTCCGGCCATCGTTCCGTGACAACTCTGGGTTTTGTTCACACAATAAACTCTCATTCGGGTGGCCTCCACTTTTACGTCCTTCTTGTTGTCTAATTCTTTGGGGATTCCAAAGGACGTAATTAGACAATGACAACAAATGAAGTCACCGTTACAACAGTCTTAACAATAACAAGATGTAAAAGACTGAAATTTGAAGCGTATCCTAGGGTAGGAAGAAACCCTTGGGGTCCTAAGCGGGTGCTATTGCAATGGAGACATATCGAGTTTGCAGACTGTTCGCTTCGCCCTAGGGCCTACACTTTTCGGTTGCTATCTAAAACCGTTTTCCTCCCCTCCTCCCTCCCTTTTCATGGCTGTTTGGCATGCCTGTAATTCGCATTCTTTAACTTTCGCGGTTTGGTCCGCGACTTTTTCCGAGCAAACACACGTAGCAGAGATGCGAAATTTCGCAGATGCCGTTAATTACCGCATCCGTCTACTCTTCTGCACAATTAACATCCTGCACGAAATATTGGAGCTCGTGTGCTCAATTTTCTCCGTAGGCTTACATACTACTGAATCCTCACCGATAACTGTTATGAAAGGCCAGCGAAAACGTCCGGCCCTGAGCGATAATCTCAGAAAATGCACACATAGTAAGGAATGAAGCAGAAAAGTAAAAAAGCGGCTACTACTACCACTACTACTGACCATTTGTGGAAGCTCCAGGAGAGGTGGCGGCGGCAGCAGCAGCAGTCGAAGCGGCCATGGAAGATGTAAGATGCGTAATCAGTTCGTAATTTAAATCAATAGCCTTATTAAGCTGGCTGGGGGCTAGGGTTGGCTGTGAGGTAGAGGAGGATGAGGAGGCGCCAGTGGTGGTGCTGACTGCGACCGTATCAGCCGAAGCAGCAGCAGCAGTAGGAGCAGATGCAGATTGCGAAGCATTTCTGACGAGGCCTAAGGGCCGTGGGGCAATCGAT